AGTCTCRGGGATACAGTAGATGTCATGGCATTTAGCCAGCTGGAGTAAAATATTCTTTATGCTTCTGASTGACCAGTCCTTTGCTGGCATTTGAAAGCTCCACTCTTTGACACCTGAGGTGGACACAAATGGGAAAATAGGWGACTTGGCTTAACAGGGTACAAGTCACAGACCTGCTTGCAGTATTGGTTTAAGTCAGTCTTTAATGAGACATTTGATGTTTTTCGTGGCAGTATTAAGGAAAAAAAGGCAATGACAGGGCAATAACTTAAATCTTTTGTCACCATCTGCTCCTCCAGTAAGGACAGATCAGAGGACAATCAAATGTTTAGTGCAAGCATGTGGGAAACCTTTGTGTAGATAGACTTGGAAGGGTCGTGAAATTTCTGTCAGCTCCCCCAAAACTGGGATTCTGCGATGGGCCTGTGCTGGTACCCCACTTTGTTTGCCAGTGTGACAGGTTTGCTGGGCTCAGAAAGGAAGGGGACATACCTGGGGCACACTGCAAGCAGGGGTCTTTAAAAACGATCGCAAATTCAGCAGAACACTTTGCTTGTTACAAAGAAACCCAAGGCCAAATCCCCTTGCTCCCCTTCAGGTGAATGAAGAAATTTGMAATTCTTGTACAGAATGTGCTTGCACAATGCTGTCACCAGACAYGGCTGGTGTAGAGCCCTGTGCAATGAGCAGCCGTGTTATATTAAGGAATATGCCTTGGTTTGAAGTTTCTTGGCTCAACCAGGCCAAAGCTGGTGCAGAATTTGAGCATAAGCATCGCAATCTGGGTGGAAATGCAGTATAAGGGAAAGCTGACTAGGAGGTCTTGAAAGACATTTCTGATATTAAAATACCTGAGTGGGAGCTTGCATTTTTGCTTGTTGCCAGATTGGTTCATCTGTTTTTAAGGCCCCCTGGATGCTGAGCACTGAAAGCAGTGCTGGGAATAGGGTGAGGACAGTACTAAATGTGAACCAGAGCAGGAGGTTATTTTGCTCTCCATCCTGAGTTACATGGTTGTGTGTGTATTTCTACTCAGTTTATTATTTGCTTTCAAAAAGCATATTCCCACCAGGTACTAGTAAAATACTTGGTCACATATTTGCAGTTACTGTGCCTTCCTCTGATCTTCCACCTTCGYGAAAGCTTGAAGAAAGGAGACAAAATTTTTAGAGTCTCTCATGGGATGAGACATAAAGGGGACTGGGATTTGCGTGTGTGTGCTTTGTTCTGGGAGGGATGAAATGTGGCTGTCCTTGAAGAAAGGACTTTTTAGCAAGACAATGAAAAACTCAACAAATTTTTGCAATAAGGCAGAGTCAACTGAAGATCAAAGGCATTATATGAAGTGCAGAGGGGAGGGAGAGACTGGTACTGCTTTTGAAATGAGTTTTTTTTTTTTTTAAGGGACATAATATTTTCAGGGCACACTGCTGTGATTCTGATTCAAGTGATGTGGCGATGCAGGGAAAGTCTCCCTTAGGTCCTTCTTTTGAACCTGGTGGTGGAAAATTCCCCAGAGTTTACTTCAGATTATTTCAGTAGTGTAAAAGTTGAAAAGATGCTCTTGTTTTGAGGTAGAAGCAACAAAATGGTAAGTGGTGGAGTTTTTCACACTGTAAGGGTAGCCTATATTCCAGAAATTTGCAAATACATCTGGATGCCAGGGGAATAGAAGGGTCAAATAGTTTCAGACATCTACCCTAAAATTTACTGGTGACTTCTAGTTGGATTAGATGAAAAAACATACCTGGAAATAATTTGGAAAAAAAATAATCAAAATATTTTCCATTGTAATTTGAAACCCAACATTTTTTTATATTTAAAATAAAACTAGGGAATGTTTCTTTTTGAGGTTGACACTGCTTTTGAAACAGTTTTCTTGGGATAGTTTTCCTCTTTTCAGAAAAATGAAACGTTTTTTGTTTGACAYCAACTTATTCATAAGCGTAACAGGAAAAAAGAAAGAATAAAAATAATAAAATGCCTTTGCACACTCAGAATGTCACACAGAGAGACATTTTCACATGTGGCTCTGAAGGCAGGCCCTGGAGGGAAGCTGGGTGGAGTGTTACATTTTGTCCCAGGATGTTTTCACTCATGAACAATTTTCATTTAAAAAAAAAAAAAGAAGCATTAGAATGTGCATACTCCCAAAAATGGTTTGTAGAAAACACTTTAAATATTTAGTACCTTCATCAAATGAAGCAGTTTTTGAATCTTCTGAGAATTTATATTCTATGCTACATATTAAAAAATACATGATATATATTAYATATTTTTGTGGAAATAGGAAGAATTTTTAGACAGATTGATGTTATTGTCTAGTGGTTCTCAGAGGCTGAAAGACAGCTTGTCATTTTTGGGAAGACAGTGAACAGCACTGAATAGTCGACTTTTTCAAGTGAACCTCCTGGCTGATGGCTCATTTTCTTGCACTAATATGGCTTTGCYAGCTAAAGGTCAAACTGTTGACCTGAAATCCATTTCCCAAGGGGCTTCCTGATTTTTGAAAGAGAGATTTGGATTGCYAGCCTTCTGAATGTCGTGCAGTGGCTGGGCCTCAGTCCTTTGAGAGAAGACACTCCACTGTATAAACCTCCCAGGACATCCATCCATCTGATCTTCACTGCATGACAGAAAGGTACCCTGAGAATGGGGAAAAGTTGCTGCATTAGGGAACTTCTTATCACTGCTGTGCAATCTCCCCAGTGCTCCTGGGGAGGAAAAGCAGAAATAAAAAAAAGCAGTTCTGGGTTGTTGTTATTATCCTCCTCAGACTTCCACTTCTTCTTGAGGAAAGGAGCTTGAGCTCTTGGAGATGAAAGTGGTGCTGAGGATCTTGAGGAAAGGGGAGGKTTGGAGGTGTGGGCTGGGACAGTCAGAGAGGGGATTGGGGTGATGGTGCACAGTCTGGAGCAGCAAGGAGGAAAGAGTGTGCATTGAGAGGTGGGGAAGAGGGACATGCCTGGCTGGGTGGGAGGTGATGAAGGTGCAAATAAATCAGATRTCAAAGCATGTCTGCTGTGGGGAGGTACAGTATGAAAAAAACTTTGGGATTCTCGCTTCTAGCATGCGGCTTGCCATCCTAGCAGCCAACTCTTTATGTTTTAAATCCCTGGTGCTGACTGTACTCCACAGACTGAATGCTGCTGCCTGGTACAGGCTTAGTTCCTGTGGACACAATCATCTGCCCTCTGCACAGAAACCCAGCACGCTGCTTTGAACTTGCTCTGTAGGGTCCCATTCCTCCTTTGATCCAATCCCCCAGCCAGGGGGAACCAYATCAGCCCTGCAGCCCACGGCTCCTCCAGCAGAGAAACTGAGGTTGGATTTAGCTGCACGTGTAGGCTGAGATGGAAACACTTCTTGGGAGAAAATGGCAGATATGCTGTTCTGTGTTCTTCAAGGGATACCTGGTGCTAAGGGTAAACACAAGATTGGCAAGAAAATCTTGTTGCAACTTKCTTTTTAGACATATGGTCTGGCTGTGATTTTTTTTTTTTTTTAAAGACAGGTAGTAGCAATTATAGTGTCTCTATTAGATTCACAAAATCAACATWTCCTTTGAATTTCCATAAAAACCAACCCCAGACATACGCGAGGAAAATCACATCAACAACAACAAAAATTTAAATCCCCCCAATCTGGGAACAAATCAGAAAGAAAAATACCCCCAGGGAAAGTAAACAAATAAAATAACCTTCGCAAAACCCCTGCCCTCAGCAGTGTTTTAATCCAAAAAAAAAGAGGGGGCAGAAAAAGCCACGAATTCTCTGCAGTCATGCGAGGCTTTGCTGGTGCCAGTGATTTTCTGGGGAGGGCACTTGGGCATTGCGCCGGCGGGCAGGGACACGGAGCCGCAAGGATTTGAGCAGAGCGCCTCAAATCGTGTCCAAATGCACCTTGGCTTTGTTCCCCTTGATCTGCGAGCAGCTCCCGAGCCATCTCGGCGAGTTTTAAGGGCACGGTGKCTTTCCCTGCGCGGTGGCGGGCCGGGAAGCGCGGCCTGGGGGGGACGCGGGGGTTGGGATCGCTCGGCGCTGCCATCGCAGAGGAAGCGGAGGCCTCCAGCCCTGCACAGGAAGCAATCTCAGAGCAGGCCTTAAATGCCAGATTCCAGGCAGAGTTTAACTAACCACTGACAGCTCTGTAAACAAAGCAGGGACAAAAAGAGAACAGCTTTCCCTTTTCTGGTAGTCATTTTTGGTTTGGGGGCTGCAGGGGAATTCTGTAATAGTCGGCTTGATGGGATATAAACCGAGGCTGCAAGGGCTTTGTATATGAAGAACTGTAAAGGGGAAAATACTACATGGACTAAATCATAAAGAAGAAGGTAGGGCACGGGGAAAACGCGCGGATTAAACTATAAAAAAAAAATTGCTACTTTTCGTTCTTTGAGCAGGATTTATACATAGTTTGACTTCCCTGGATGGTATTTATGAGTGGTGG